ACATTGGGATACACATTTAGCAAAAGCCACCTGGTTGGTTAATACTAGAAGATCTGCCAATCGGGCTGGCCCTGCCCAGCCAAGACTTCCACATACTGTAGAAGGAGATAAAGTCCCTGTATTACGCAGGAAGGGTATGTTAGGGAAGACAGTCTGGGTTAGTCCTGCCTCAGGCAGAGACAAACCCCATCTGCGGGATTGCTTTTGCTCAAGGACCTAGGCGCACTTGGTGTGTGATGCAGCAGGATGGGGAAGTTTGATGTGTACCTCAAGAAGATTTGATTTTGGGAGAGAATAGCCGGTGAATTAGGCTGCATGATGTTAATTTCTAAATAACCTGCCACTGAATATCATCATGTCTATAGTGGCTATATGCCTTATCAAGGGTATTGTAGTAAGAGTTACCCAAATGACTGAAGGATGGACTTTGAAACCAAGCGAAGTGCAGCAGTGATGGAACTTGAACTGGTACCCAGCAATTTCTTCAAGATTGACTTCTTCAACCCACAGACCATGGGCATAGGTTGCGCCAAATACAACAGCTGCAAGTTCTAGAGGCAGCATACAACAATCCACCACACACCATCTCTCCTACCCTGAAGGACTGTTACAACAGATGGAGCCCCAAAGTCATGGAATAAATAAAATCGTTGGTCACGTTAGAGGGATGGCCCATAGACTAAGGGAATGCCATTCATATGTGTGGGTGTACACATATGAATAGCACACACACATATATATATATATTTGTATATATATAAAAAAGACAGGGAAAGTGGTGGTGATTAATTGGAAAGTGTAGGATCAGGGCATGATGTGGATGGTTTAGAATAAGGGGTGGATAATGTCCTGGGTTCAGTTGAAATAGAGTTAATTTTCACAGAAAGCTGGGAGGGGGCACAGCCAGAACAGCTGGCCTGAACTAGCCAAGGGGCTATTCGATACCATGCAACATCATGCTCAGTATATAACTGGGGAGCGGGTTGGGGGGAGACTTTCTCTCTTGGGGTGGGAAGTGGCAGAGCGTCGGGTTCTGGGTGGTGAGCAGTTGCACTGTGCATCGCTCATTTTGTATGTTCTTTTATTAGTACCGTTATTGTTGTTGTAACTTCTCTCATTGCATTGTCACAGTAAACTGTCCTTATCTCAACCCGCAAGGTTCTTTTTTTTTTTTTTTTTTTTCTTCCTCCTTTCTGATTCTCCTCCCCATCCCACTGGAGTGGGGACGGGGCGGAGGGAGTAAGCACCTCTGTGGTGCTTTGTTGCTGGGTAGGTATAAACCACGACAATTGAAAAACTGCAGAGGGCAACAAGTGGTAGACAATTGAATTTAGGACTGCAGTATCAGGTCTGGGACTAGATTAAAGCAACATGAAACTAGCCTAGAAAAAGTGAGCTAAACTCATCAAGACACAAGTGCTAGATGACCTGGTTTCCAGAGACAGTACAAGAGAGGGGCAGGACTGGTCTTTTTTAGGGCAGAGGGATACTAGCTCATCTTTCTCATAGACTCTTGCTCTGAATCACTGAGATGGGTTTATAATTTCCACTTTGGATGGACTGATGCAGCATGCGCTTCTGCATCCTGGTGTTGGTGGTGGCAGGATGGCCTGCCTGCCCTCTCCCTTCCTCCTGTTTTGTGCTATCTCTTTGCCTTTGATCTTACCAGCCTTTGTTTTGGTTCATCTAATTTACTGGTTTACAAAGCTTTCACTTTCTCTAAGGGCTTTTCTTTTCCATTTTTCTCTGGCTACCTTTATTCTACTGATACTTATCATGATATTGTCAGCATTGATATAGTTCCTTCCAGCAAGTACTCAACAATTCTGTTAATTGGTAGGTTGCTTTTTTGTGTGAGAATGGAAGCTGTAGGAAAATATTTGGAAGCTCTAAGTTTTGTATTTCATTCTGAAATTGGTGAGACTTGTGATCAGATGCATCTGCATTCACACAGATATGTGTGAATTGGTTAGGTCTAGCTTCTGAGGAAAGTCCTGTTCCTGTACTTAAGAGCTATGTCTTAATGCTTGGTGTACCACTGGATGGATTAACTGTAGTAAATCGAGATGGTTCAGGAAGAATAATTCCTTTAATAAGTAGGATTTTGAATTTTAGAAGTGACCAGTAAGATCGTAAGAATCACTAGATCAGATCAAAGATTTATGTAGCTCACTCTCTGTCCTAAAAGCTGACACTTGGGTAAATTTCATAAGAAGTTGAGCAAGTACTGAGTTATCTTTCTCTCACAATTCTGTTCCAGCTTCTAAAAGACATACTGCTATGGTGTTAAGGTGTTTCAGGAAATTGCCAAATATGAATTGTTGCAATGGGTCCTCATTAGTCAAGCCTCAGTTCACAGCTAAAATAATGAATACCAGTTAATAAGGGTCATCTTTATATTTGGTTATATCTTCATTTAATGGTATGGGAGGCAGGCCTCTTGCAGTTCTCAGAAATGATTTCGTTTGTTTGTTAGTTATTGTAGTACCTTTTGGCATCAAATACCAAATAAAGAATCCTGGAATATTAAAAGTTGTAGACCAGTTTATAAGCTGCAGACAGATGCCTAAATAAATTAAAAGAAGCAATTTCACTAGTTCGATGCAGTTCAACATTTGCCAGTTCCTTTTCATTCAATTCTGTATTATAGGCTTGAAAAAGCTAAGAAAAAGCATTTATGTTTAAAGCTGATTGTCCTGTGCTTTACATTCCTTAGCTCTGGCAGCACCAGTTGTATTTAGGAGCTTCCTGCTGGTGTCAAGATGGTTTAGCAGAATTTGGAAGAAGTTATTGCCTGTGAAACAGGTTTTTTTCCCTCTGTTTCTGAGGACCCAAGCCTAAAAGGAAGAGACTATATTTACTCTATCTGGCTGATTTTTCACTTGCTTTCTTTTTTCCAGATAATCACTAATGTTGTATTAAAACAATGTACTACTTCCAGAACCAAGATGTCCAGCTCTCCACTTCCCTTTCCTAAATCTTTCAAGCACTAGGAACTGAATTTATTGGTTGATGTAATATCTTAATACTCCTTCTCCATAGAATATTATGTGAAGGATTCCAAAGGAGGGAATTTAGAATGATTCATCCCAATTAATTCAGGGAAGTATCAACATTGCAAAAACCTCTGGTCCTTTTGGGATTAATATTCCCTGGAGTGAACTGCCTGAGGGCTGTCTTAACTCAAGGGCAAAAGGGAAGCTTCTCAGTAATCCTGTTAATTTAGCATTCTTTCTACTTATATTTTCAAAGTACTGCAGAGCTAGTTGTTCTTTGAATATTTTATTCGAAGAAAAATGATCTGTGGCCTAGGTATCTAGGTTTGGCCGCCTTCTCAGAGGCAATTTCTGAATGAGAGATCTACTCCTTTTCAGACCCTTGAGGTTCTCAGTAAGCAAGAGCCAACAGAAACTAATTTTTCTCACCTGTGTTTATTCTGATCTGCAGCTTTTTTTGACGAGTAGAAACATTTTCAACTAAAATGTTTATGAACTATCTCACTGTAAAAAAAATTGGAATAGGAATGCTGTGGGCTCTGTCCCAGTAGAAGAGGAGCCTTAAAATATTTTAAACAGTATTATTTACCACACAAATCTTCCCAATTCTGAAGTAGTATTAGAATACAAAATTAATTAACAGACTTAAACAAGTACAGTGATCTTCTCTTGCTCTCTGTCCTTGGAGTTAATAAAGTGCAATGTATCTTAGCTGCATTGTTATGTTGAGGCAGCAGTAGAGTATTGAATTGAAAAAAATAAACTTCAACTGTTAGCATGGAATTTCGATTAAAAATATAAACTCTAAAGACTGTGTGACAATTTTGTGAAAGACTACCTGATAATTACACAAAAGGCACGTAATTGCACAATCATCTAAATCTACAGCTTTTGTCACAAGGTAAGGCTAAGATTCACCATTATTTCTTACCAAAAGCAATTTTTGAACATGAACTATTCAGATATTACAACCCCCTGTACTCGTTTGAAATTAAATTTCTGAGAAAGTCCACTCTTGCCAGCTATCATAATTTGAAAGAAAGTGAAATAATTACTAACTTCATTACATTATTTTTTCCATTAATTTCGGCATTAGATCACTGCTTATTAGATACTTGGCATTGTCATACAGTTTATTAGAATATATTAATAGAAACCTGAAACTGGTCACATAGTTTGGATTGAAAGCATCAGAGGTGTGTTTATAATATTTTTGAAGCTGGTAGGCCTGATTCAAACATAAATTGTTGATTAATATGGAGTGTTGTGGTTTAACCCCAGCCAGCAACTAAGCACCATGCAGCCGCTCGCTCACTCCCCACCCCCCCCAGTGGGATGGGGGAGAAAATCGGGAAAAATAGTAAAACTCCTGGGTTGAGATAAGAATGGTTTAATAGAAGAGGAAAGAGGAAACTAATAATGATAACACTAATAAAATGACAACAGTAATAATAAAAGGATTGGAATGTACAAATGATGCACAGTGCAATTGCTCACCACCCGCTGATTGATGCCCAGTTAGTCCTTGAGCGGTGATCCCCCCGCCCCCACTCCCCCCAGTTTATATACTAGATGTGATGTCACATGGTATGGAATACCCCATTGGCCAGTTTGGGTCAGCTGCCCTGGCTGTGTCCCCTCCCAACTTCTTGTGCCCCTCCAGCCTTCTTGCTGGCTGGACATGAGAAGCTGAAAAATCCTTGACTTGAGACTAAACACTCCTTAGCAACAACTGAAAACATCAGTGTGTTATCTACATTATTCTCATACTGAACCCAAAACATAGCACTGTACCAGCTACTAGGAAGACAATTAACTCTATCCCAGCTGAAACCAGGACATGGAGATAGGAAGATAGTATTGTCCAGTACTGCGAAATGTAAAAGATAAAAAGACTCCCAAACCTCCTTTCCACCCTCCCCCAACTTTTCAGCTGTTCTGAAACAGCATGGATTGTCATGCAGAGAGGGTGGTTATTGACATGTGAATCTTTTTTTATTGTAGCTGACTTTGGGCTTGCAAAGCAAAAGCAAGAAAACAGCAAACTTGCATCAGTAGTGGGAACCATTCTGTACTCATGGTAAGTACGCCTTCATACAATATTCAGTACAGTGACTTCCATCTTCATGGTTACTTTTTTTGGAGCAGACAGGCAAATTACAATGGAGTAAGGAACAAGGTGCAAGTTACCCACACACAGTACTCTGCAGTAGTTGGTTGCCTGCCTATTTTGCTGTTGCGTGTTCTTGCACATGGCATTTACTGTGGGTTAAGTTGGTGCAAAAATGACGTAACCATGGTTGTGTAGTAACTTACTCATCTATCTATATCCTTATAGATAAAGAAATGTGTTTTCAAGTTATAAAAAGATCTATGTAAACAATGTAAATTAATTTTAATGGCTTTTAATGTAATTGTGGCTTCAATGTTTAGTTATGTTGTACATATGCACAACTTACCTTCTGAAAAATATTTGAAATTGGTCCTAGTGGATTTGTTTTGGACCAGTAGGCATTTGGTTTTCATAACTGAACTGAAAAAATATTTGCTGAAGTTTGACATTTTCAATGGTGGAAAAGCATGACACAAGTTGTTTGCAATTTAAGCTTAGTAAACGCATAAATGACTGCTCTAAAATTTTGCCTTAGACAATACATTATTCAGTCTGTTGAATGAGCTGCAGTTTCCTTTGGCATCCCATTTGTAAGCAAGCCAAAGTGAAGAACCATATTGCATTAAATTGCGGTACCAATATAGCTACCTAAGCTCCTAGATTACTACTGACTTGTGGGTTTTTTTCTCAGGAGCATGGAATAGAACGCATTTCCTATCCAAAAGGTTCCCCACAATATGTAAACAGTGTACGTAATTGAGAGTATATGCATGTCAGATTCTCTCAAACAAAAGTAATTTTGGGCAGGACAGAGTATTGATTTTTGTGTTGCATGATGTATAAATAACAAACATGCCTGTTAATTGAGGTAACTGTATTGTGAACATAAGGGAGCAAATGTACTCTGGGTAAAAATCTAAATTGTAGAAAGCACAAGCTCAGTATTCATCTAATAGCAGTTGATGGGTTCTGGGCCTCCCATTTAAGCTGAGAGTTTCTATTGATTGAAATGCTAACATCAGAAATCAATTAAGGAATTGCTAATCTGTGCCACAGTTCTGGATCTGTCCATTTGCAAAATTATTGGTTAAGCTTTGCCTACCTTAACTACTGCTTTATTAAGGAAATATGTTTACAGTACGTTCAGCTGAAGTGTTGCAGATCTAAATATTCCTTATTGCTGCATGGGCTTGTTCCAGCTTCTTTGCAACACCTTTGTACATAACAGCTGCTGTTCCCTCTCTTCAGAGTCACTCTGTTGCTTCTACTCATTGTCCAGCTTTCTAAGGTCAAAAGTTGGTTTTCTTTTAGGGACTTCTGGTGCTCTTGCTTCCACTACTATAAATTGCCAGTTCTAGCTCCTTCTATGACCAGGTGATCCGCCTCATGGATGAGGGAAAGGCTGTGAATGTTGTCTGCCTTGCCTTCAGCAAGGCCTTTGACACTGTCTCTCATGGCATACTCCTTGAGAAGCTGGCGGCTCATGGCTTAGACAAGTGTACTCTTGGCTGGGTGAAAAACTGGCTGGATGGCCAAGCCCAGAGGGTTGTGGTGAATGGAGTTAAATCCAGTTGGTGGTGGGTCACAAGTGGTGTTCCCCAGGGCTCAGTAGTGGGGCCAGTTCTGTTTAATATCTTTATTAATGATCTGGACCAGGGGATCGAGTGCACCCTCAGTTGGTTTGCGGATGACACCAAGTTGGGCGGAGCGTTGATCTGCTCGAGGGTAGGAAGGCTCTACAGAGGGATCTGGACAGGTTGGATCGATGGGCAGAGGCCAACTGTATGAGGTTCAACAAGGCCAAGTGCCAGGTCCTGCACTTGGGTCACAGCAACCCCATGCAGTGCTACAGGCTTGGGAAAGAGCAGCTGGAAAGCTGCCTGGTGGAAAAAGACCTGGGGGTGCTGGTTGACATATGAGCCAGCAGTGTGCCCAGGTGGCCAAGAAAGCCAACGGCATCCTGGCCTGTATGAGAAATAGTGTGGCCAGCAGGAGCAGGGAGGTGGTTGTTCCCTTGTACTCAGCACTGGTGAGTACTGTGTTCAGTTTTGGGCCCCTCACTACAGGAAAGACATGGAGGTGCTGGAACGTGTCCAGAGAAGGGCAACCAAGTTGGTGAGGGGCCTGGAGCACAAGCCTTATGAGGAGCGGCGGAGGGAGCTGGGGCTGTTTAGTCTGGAGAAGGGGAGGCTGAGGGGAGACCTTATCGCTCTCTACAACTACCTGAAAGAGGGTTGTAGTGAGGTGGGTGCTGGTCTCTTCTGTCAGGTGGCTGGAGATAGGACAAGAGGAAATGGCCTCAAGTTGCGGCAGGGGAGGTTTAGATTGGATATTAGGAAAAATTTCTTTACTGAGAGGGTTGTCAGGCATTGGAACAGGGTGCCCAGGGAAGTGGTTGAGTCACCATCCCTGGAGGTATTCAAAAAGCGTGTAGACAAGGCACTTCAGGGCATGGTTGACGGTTGGACTTAATGATTTTAAAGGTCTTTTCCAACCTAAATGATTCTATGATTCTATGAAATAAAGTGAAGTTTATTTGGCATAGGGAATAGAAAAAGAAAACTACAATGAATGAAACATAAACAAACCAAGAATGTTGCACAGAATACAATCTATAATATTGTTTTCTGTTTTCATCAGAAATTTTAATTTACAAAATACTTGCCAACAAGGAGAAAAACCTGACGGAACATTGTATGTTGGCCCTCAGGGTCAATGAGTTGTAATTTTCTTATCCTACCTACACTCAATTCTTTTTTTTTCCTGTTGGATTCTTTTGCTCTTGTCTTTGAGTCTTTTAACATTTTATAGGAAATTTTTATTTGAGAATAGTGTTCTGTAGATTTAAATACTCTTTTTTTTTTTTTTATGTTTGCTTATACCATGTTTATTATTATTGTCTTACTCTGTCTTCGTACATGGAAGTTCACATCAGAGCTAGGACTTTGGCAGTTCTTTTTCCACCTCTTTGTCCAGTTATTTGGATGTAGGCATGAGGATAAAATGTCACTTATACGTTGCAGTCTTTCAGTAAGTGGTCTTTTGGGACATTACTTGTCAGTTCAACTCCACAGGCAAAATCATGGAAGCAGTGATCCTTGCCTGTCTGCTGTCAGAAAAGAGAACAAGGATACAGTACTGATGTCTTTGTATTTAAAATGTATGCTTGAGTAATATTTAAAATGACAGGCTAAAGCATTAAAGTCTTTCCAATGTCGTCATAATTTAAGAATGTTAAAAAGGCCTTGCAAACAGCTGAATGCACTGGATGCCACCTTCAAGGTACTTGGCTAGTACTGTGTGTGACAGTGGGCTTTTTGATATGGAAACCTGTTCACAAGGAATGAGGTGAACTGATAGAGTATTTTAACACAAGTAATGAAGCAGAAGTCAGAGCCTATAGACTTAATCAGTGCTTGGACTAGATAATTTTTGTGGGTTTGGGGTTTTTTTTGCATGATTTAAGTAGATGTGAAGGGCTGTAAAATAATCAAAATATTGGGAATGCATATCTACCAAGAGCAGCAATATTAGTTCCTGCACAAAAAAAAAAAAGGAAAGGAGGAAGAGAAAGAACTGAGACAGCATTGTCATTCAAGAGTGGCAGGAATTACTTTCTTCTGAATTGACAGGGTAATAGTTCTTGGTAGTTTGAGATGCAACCCACCCTTCTTGGAGCAGACAATATAGTACAGAAACAAAATAATAAATGTCAAAAGTAGCATCTGATGCTTATTGTTTAAATTTGGCTAGGAAGTATTTTGCAGAGTGGTTCAGATAAAAATTTATTACTATATGTACCAAACATGTTTGAATTTGGGGCTGGCTGAATCAATTTGCTAATGCAATTTTTAAAAAACTGTATCATCATAAAATAACAGCAGACATTGTTTTATGTTTAGAGAGGGGCTTATATAATTGTGCTTTGTAATTGTGATGGTTTTTAATTCTACATTGTACTAGGTTTTATTCTGCTATCATACTAATTAAATTCCTTTTAATTGGTTATGTCCTTGAATTAAAATATCCAGCAATGTGTATGTTTGAACACCAAATGTATTAAATGGATGTGTTTACACTTAATACATTAAAAATTGAGGAAAAGACTGCTTTAGGGAATTGGTAATGAATTCTGAAGTCTTTTGCCAGCTCATAAGTCACCAGAAACAATCCACTCCAAGTTAGTGGTGACAGAGTCTTTATTATCCTGCTGTCTCAAAGGCCTTCCCAGAAGAGACACAGCAAATTGTACATGGTTATAGAGAATGATGTTTCATTTTATGTATACCTGCCATTTCTTTGTTTCACAAGAAGGATTGTAACTTATGAAGGGGATGTATCAACAACAGATCAAGAGAGATAAGTCAAAGTTAGCTGAGTCATGGTTCCGATAACTGCTTTTGTAATTTTACATGTATACAGAAATTTTAGAAAAACTCTGGGAAACGAAGTAAATTTTGAATTGGGATGGAATAGAGAATCCCATCATAATTCCTTGAGAACTTGACTGATCTTGAAAAGCTGTTGGGAAACTGTGAAGAAGAGCAGACCTGTCATGTATCATTAAAAAGTAGGTGAGAATGTTCCACGTTAGTTGGTGAACTAACTTGAACTTTCTGAAACATAATTGTTCTAAAATGTTGGAAAACTGATACACAGAACAATGTTATGTAAGATTTGGCTTTTTGTGCTAAAGTTGAGGTGTTTTCTCTTTGTGGTGTTTTGAGGAAACTCTCATTTTTTGTGGTAATTAGAGGTACTATTTTACTTGTGTCCATCTTCTGTGCTGTGGAGGAGAAAATATTCCTTGATCTTAGTTTCTGCTGAGGGACTACATAGTCAGTCTGCATACTGTGTTATGTTACCCAAATTTCTTTTCTAGTACTGGTCACTGCTTCTATTTAAAACCATATCTTGTGAGAGCACTGCATAAATCAATATTGTGATATGATTTCCTGCAGAGATCT